GCACTTGAAAGGGAACTTGATGTAACCAAACCCGGATGCTCCAACACAAATGGGATGTTTACTTGTAGAACCTCAGATCCACCTGTTTACACTGAAATGTCCCACATCAATTTTAGGCTAGTAGTTTAATGCATGTGTGTTGACTGCCAAGACAACAACAAAACTAGAGATGGTTGCTGGCTTTGTTTTAATGTGCTCTTAATGAAGCTGTGTGAAGATGAGAGAGGCACAGCTTTCCTTTTTTGGGAGAAAAGTGTTTGAGCTGGTTAATACTAGAGATTAAGTTAACCCTTGTGTTCTGTTAAGGATCTTAAGATATCTCTGCCCCAGATTGGGTTCCTCTTGAGTCCAGAAGCCTTATGAAAGTCCAATAATATGTTTTCAGAGTTCTCATTTACTTGTAGGCTGGTGATTTGATTTTTTTTTTTTTTTGGATCAGGCCTCATATTTCTGTCTGAACCTGACCTGTTCCCGAGAGTGTGGCATCCAAACCAGACCTGGGCCCAACGAGCCCTTTGTGCCAGTTTTTGTACCTAAACACACACTTCATCTGCTACAATGATCTAACTGTGTTTATCCCTCGCTTTGTCTGCGTTCTTGTCCAGACAGCAGCTTGTAATTTGTATTGGCTCCAAACCGAGTCTCTTCCTTTGTCTCTGTATCGACTGCCGATTCTTGCTCCAGTCGATGTCTGGGAGCTCTTTTAATTGTCATTGTGTGACATCATAAAGCTGGCATGAAACTGCCTGTTGCTGATTGCTGGTGCTAGTCTTGCCTGTGGGCTGCCTCTCCTGGCACTCGGAGGGTTGAGGTGGATTCCAAGTTTGTCTGTGCTGAAAAGTAGAGGATTTGCAAATAATTTTATACTTTGACTGGAGGCTCCATCACAAAATGGCAGGTCAGACAAATGATTAGTCTCTTTGACTGGCAATAAGCTAAGTGACTGAAACAATGAAAACATTTGCAAGCTAGGGGAATTCCAATGATATTATTACTGAAAGAATTATGTGATTGTCATGTTTCCATAATGGAACTGTGTTTTTGATGTTTGTTACTTTTGAGGTAAAATATCTGCTCACTGAAGTTTAAAAATGAAGCTCTACCTTTTTTGCTAATTTGGTATAACAGTGATACAATATACCTGGTGGTTTGGATCATTTTTCAGGCACCACTCTACTAACGGAGTGGATTTACACCAACGAGCCTTAACATTATGACCACTGACAGGTGAAGTGAATAACATTGATTATCTGATTACAGTGGCACCTTGGGGTGTATTAGGCAGGAGGTGAACATTCATTCCTCAAAGCTGATGTGTTGGAAGCAGGAAAAATGGGCAAATGTAAGGATCTGAGTGACTTTAGACAAGGGCCGAACTGTGATGGCTGCCGACTGGGTCAGAGCATCTCCCAGACTATGGAAGCAAACAGATTTCCAGAAGATGCACAGTGGGCTGCAGAGTGACATGAGTGCCAGCCAACAGCTGCAGTGACCCCTGTGTAGACAGTTTTAGGCAGGCGGTCATAATATTGTGGCTGATGGGTGTTCAGCTTGACTGGAGGGCTAGAGAGAGAGAGAGAGAGAGAGAATGCAAACCCAGACCGGACGCTCACATTCTGATCACGTGGCCTGATGTACAGCAGATTGAATAGCAGTTGGGGGTTTGAGAAGCAAGTCTAAACTTAGACCATTAATAAAAGCTGGGGGAATCATGTGACCTCTGAGATCACCCTGTGAGGTCACACCGGTGTCGGGGTCTCTTTCCAGGGTAATGGGATTTCTGCACACACACGAGGTGTTGCTGAAGTGCTCTGGCAGAGAAAAGAGAGAGGGATCTGTTTGTGTTAAGTACAAATTTGTAGACTTACTACTTTATTATCAGTGTTCAAAAGTAACTAAATACATTTAATCAAGTACTGTACTCAAGTGCAGTTTTGGTCAGACATGCCGGAGGTCCTAAACACAGCTGGTTAGTCTCCTGTGGTGGATGTCAGGGTCACAGATGGACCGGACAGAGAGAAGAGGAAGAATATGATGAACTGCAGAAGAGATAGGGAGAAGGGGAGGAAGCAGGGAAAATGTAACTACAAAAACACAAACTGAAAGGGGAAGGGAAGAAAGAAAAGAAGGTTGGAGAAAGGAAAAAGGCTTCATAACCTTTTCCCCACTATTTGTTGGTTGGCCTTCGTTTATTTGCATCAGCAGACGCAACCTCCTGGTCCTTTAGTTTTTCCCCTTGAGGTCGCTCAACTTCAGGTTCAGGTGAAATTCAAATAAGGTCAACGGCATTTTCTAAATCATTTTGTTCATTTATTTAATTTAATTAGTACAGTCATTGGTTTGTGTTGTACAGTTTGATTGGCAGATGATGGCGTAACCTCTGCAGTGCTGATTGTAACCAGAATTTTCCTGATTAAAGACTTGCTATGCAACTGATAGATAATTAATGGTAACTTAGCATTAATTACAAAGAAGTATGGGGCGTTCTTGTGCACTTTCCAGTGTCAGCATTACCTACTTGTTCAGTATCACCAGCTCACCTCGCTGATCTACAGTACATATCTTTCATCATGTTATATCTGTATATCTGTAACACATGAAGCATGTAAGGATTTAGCCTACTTTTATTTAAACAAAGTGACTACCCTGTCTCATCATGTCCTGTTTTCTCAGCCATATAGCTCAGGAAGTATACCATACGGTGCTCCAGGTAACTCTAGATGGGATAACATCAACAGACTTTATAGGAATGAATGGGCAAGCCCAGACATCAGCCGTCACCCACTAGCTGCTACTCTCAGGTGTAAGAACTGCAGGATAGATATTACTGATAGTTTTTAAAAGCCTCAGTTTGATGTACGTACTGTACATGAAAGCATTTGGACAGTAAAATATGAGAAAACTGTGGCGATTGATGGGAGAACGTTATCTAAAGCTGAAAGATGCCGGGATGACAGAATGGAAGACAAAATTACGTGTTAGAATTCACTGTAGCTCACATAGTGTGGGACCAAGGATCCAGCTCATAGTGCTCATATCCCTGTTGTTGTTTTTTTTTTTAGATTGTCTTTGTTCTCAGAGGTAGTGTGTAGTTGTGTGTGCGTGTGTGTGTGTGTGTGCGTGTGCTTTGTGAGGACCAGTTTTAGATGGAATGAGGGAAATGTGTCACATTTTTAAAGATCCTGTTGAGGCTTTAAGCCATTAAGGAGTGTTCTCGCAGGTATAGAATTACATTGTGTGCGTCGTCCTGCAGAATTACCTGTGTCTACACATCCAAATGCAGTCACATGTTTCTATTTGCCTCTAATAATCCTTTATTGTGTGAATGTGTCAGTGTTTTCCTCATTGTCTTCCTTCTCTATATTTAACACCTCCTCGTCTCTGAGGTTAAATGTTCTCCCCTCGGGTGCTGGCATAGCATCTGTTTGCTCGTATCATTCTTCACTTTTAACGTTGGGTGTGGACAGCATGAATTGTGCTCCAACACATCTCCACCTTGCTCAGGTGGAGGCTGGATTATATCCTAGAACAATGGGTCTCAAGGGCATTTACACTCTCAACCAGCCTGCTGTGATGATAATAGAGCAAAATAATAAGGGTCACAGATGCACTGAGGTCCACTGTCATTCTCTGCTGCTTTCAGCTCATACAGTAAGGTACTTTGATGTCCAATAAAATGCCAGATTGTCTCTATTTTTACCCTCTTGTTGCCAATAATTTATTTGAGCTGCTCCCTCCTATTGGTCTCCCACCATGT